ATTTTAACACTTGATTTGCATTTTATTTTCAAATAATGCATCATTACATGTGCTTTTGATTTTTTTTCCATTATTATCATCATTTCAGACTTTATTATATTTTTTCTGTTTTTTTTTTTACTGTTATTATTAGTTAAAACAAAAATTGTTTCCTTTTCATATCAATTATTAATTAGATGTATTTGATTGCATATATTCCAGTGATAGTCAATTTTACTTGACAGAATACTTTATAATAAAAAATAATGCACAAATTTCCAATCATAAAGATAAAAACAAAATTATAGTTTACTTAACATAAAAAATTTAATATTGCAACAACATTAAGCAAAATTATACCTTTTTTCCAGATCAAACTCTTAACATATATTAATTTTCAATATAAAGGTTTGACTACATTTAAAAAATTAACCATTTCTGCATGAGCTGTGTAAACTGAAATGTGAAAAATTAAATACAACTCACAAATAGAACACATCTTGTATTATTATATTTCATTAGTAAATAGAGGGAAGCATGGCACCATTTAATTTCTATGCTGTCAACTTAATCTATTTTTGCTGTATTTTATAAGAGGAACAAAATGGAGATTCTATATGAATTCTATTGATTTATGAGTAAAACATGCAAAATTATATAATGTTTTTTTTTTTGTCTACAAATACACAAAGGCATAAAATTTACAGAATGTATACAAGTATGAACTTAAAGATATAGTTTACAAAGAATTATTCATTAACATTTTAAAACTTAATCCTAATTTTGAATAGAATGTCTCAAAGAACAAATTTTGGATTTAACCGACGTATTCTGACTACGAACATGGTCTCCTACTAACATTTTTCGCAGCTCTGCATGTACTCAAACTTAGGAATCATTATCAGAGAGCAAAATAATCCAATCTAGCTCCAGTCCCTAAGAAAACTCTAACCAACTCTCATTCCTATTCCACCTCTAACCACTTGTACGTTGCAAGTGGACATTTTTAACCACTTGTACGTTGCATGCGGACATTTTTAACCACTTGTACGTTGCAAGCAGACATTTTTAACCACTTGTACGTTGCAAGCAGACATTTTTAACCACTTGTACGTTGCAAGCAGACATTTTTAACCACTTGTACGTTGCAAGCAGACATTTTTAACCAATTGTATGTTGCAAGCAGACATTTTTAACCACTTGTATGTTGCAAGTAGACATTTTTAACCACTTGTACATTGCATGCAGACATTAGTGGTTCCATTTCTTTCGGGAGAATCCAAAGGAGGGGGATTTTCCGTCGCCTCTACTCTCTGATACTGAACACAACTGTTAATTGTCTTTTTTATCCAACACTAAAAAAATAGAAAATGGTTCCCCCCATTTTTAATTACATTTCATTTACTATCCCTTTTCCTTCTTTCTTAGTTCATTAAATTGAGGACAACTGTACTTTTATTAGAGGGGGAATGATCAAACTTCTCTCGCTCAAGCTTAAGCATATCATTGGCTTTTATTGAGAAAGAAAAATGAAAATGGTATTCCAAAAAGTCTGTCTCAGTTATTAGAAATAGTGAAATTAAAAATTGGATTCATATTTATTAACAAAGAGAGGGAATAGGGATTCAGTTCTGTCGCACAATGAAATACCTGTTTATAATACCTAAACTAATACCAACACTATGTCAAATTACTCAGATATATTGCATATCAACTCTGAAATATACCTTAAGGAGTGAAAATTAAATACATACAGTAAAAAATAAACAAATAAAAAAAATTTATGTTAGAAATTCAACCTCATGTCATTTATATCTTTATAAAAGATATAAAGATATGTACATCACCAAGAAAAGAAAAGTCCATATAAAATGAAGTTAGTTTCATACTTTTACTACCTAATCAGACAAGAGTAGCAGACTTTCCAAGGAATTTTGTTTAACACATCTACCTTCCCATGATATGCCAGTCATAGCTGAATAATAAACTTCATCTCCTCACCAAGTTTGTACTATGTCATTTTTGCATTCAGATGCATATCAATTCATTGTGCAAAAGATATCCCTTAGTATAATCCTTTTATCAGACATCATAACATAAAATACTGTTATAATAAGTGGCCTGTACATACTAGTCCAAATCATAAACCCCTGCTCTATTGTCATGAAAATAATCTCTTGTTCAGTAAAGATTTCCTCAAGCAAAAACAACATATATCAAAATGAATTAGTGATAAGAAGATAGTATAAAGAAACAGAAGCTTGTTTAACAAAGTCTTGAACATTCCATTAATACACAAACATTTCTAATACTTCTGTCAATCTCTATGATACCATAAACCTATATTATTTGTTCTATAATATAATAAAATTAGTAATAAATCACTGGGGTAACACTTTATATGTAACTGATAAAGAGGTATAATTCATTAGTACAAAGTAAATATCTATTGGATATACAATTCTTCTAACAAATTTGCTGTACTAACTTTACTACCATTATAATGTGGACTATAATATTTCCATCTCATCTTCAAGGTACTATTTTTACAATAATAGGAAGTATATCATTTTATCTGACTCTGTAACTACCATCCACATGTTACCAGAGGTGTACATTACTGGTATGAGGTAAGCCCAACTCATAAACTACTGAACTAAAAAGCCAGTAACAAATATAGCCACACTAATAATAATGGCTGCAGGGTTTCATAGGATATTAGTTCAGCTGACACTGACAGCTACCCTAAACACATATATTGCTAGTCAACACAGGGATAACCCATCACTCTGAAAGAGGTTTAGATTGTACATAATCAAAAACATTGTTACACAGGTTATGATGGCATGCCTAGCTATACTAACAACTATATTTATTATTTGTTATTTCAGATATCTTTTCAAGAGGATGATATATTTTCTACATTACTTGATTGGAAAATAGATTATGATATCTCTAATGGGATTCAGTTTGAAACATGTTAAGATTCTCTCTTTATTTAACCCAATGCCGACGGGCATAACGAGTAGGTACATGTAGTGCCCACTGTGAGTTCCTTGTTTGATTGTTTTAACACATAGATGGCTACACTTCTACTAAGTCACCAATGAGCCAGTTACGAGTACTGCCTGTCTTGCCCGTTTACCCTTTTCTTTGATTTACGAAAATATTTCACGTTATCTTATTTTGCTGTTACTAATGTTTATAACATAATAGTAATCATAATGTTTATAATAAAAGTAACACCATCGATATTCATAGCACTAGTAAAAAATACATTTTTCCCGCCAATTCAAATCAGTTAAGGTCACAATGTCTACTAAATGACTCCTTTGTGGCTAAGCACTAGCAGAGCCATCTATGTGTAGAGACATTTCACAAAAAATATAAAAAATGAGCACAGTATTTTCCCCATTTTTTATTCATTTTCCCCGGTGGTATTGGGTCAAACAAACAATGCAAGTCTGATTTCTTTTACTAACATTTGATATAACTTTCATCTCTAGTTTCTCTTCACTTATACGTGTTAACCCTTTTATATAGTTTCCTAATTGGTCCAGTTGATTATGTATATATTTATTTATTGACAATCTAAGTATCAAAAAGTAAAAAAGTAAAAATAATCACATTTCTGAGCTCTGCACCAAAATGTGATATCTTCAGCATCATAGGTACAAAGCATATGACCCAATGGTTGTTACAGGGAAGAAACATGCACAGAACAGAAAATTATACAGAGCAGACTCTCCACTTTTTTATGCCTTGCAGTACTCTACAGTACTCCAACTAAACAAAGACATTTACCATTACTATTGTTAATACTTGTCTCTGTGCATTTTGAATGGAGAATGTAGCTGTGAGACAAGTAATTTCATTTTGGAAAAAACAAGAGAAATAAATGATGGCTTGTAACAACCCTGAACTAAAAACTCCTTATGAAAAGCCTTTGAATTAAACCAATGGGAAACTAGACTACTAGGAAACGGTGATAGAAAAATAGTTAAATAGAAAATAAAGCAATAAGAGCAGCTATCTAGAAAGTTGCAAAAGACAGGTAACAGCAAATACATGATTTTTCAGTGGCAATATTTATTTACATAAATACATGACAATGTATGCCTTGTCATGATAATGCTATCCTTTTAATTTAATCATTTACTTGCCAGAGACAGCCTTATGCCATATTTTCCTTTTATTTGTGTTTGGGTACATTCAAATATTTGTAGTATTTGCAAGAGTGTGAAGCCGCAATATATAAATCTAATCTCTCCTATGAGCAGAGGGGGGAAAGGGAATATAATTAGAGATGTTTGTGAAATACAATTGATAAAATAAAAATAATGAAAATATAAGCAAGCTTTCACGTCTGCTTTTTCTGAACACGATGCACTGATATCTCACAGAACCCAATCTTTATGGAAGTTTTGTTCACAAAATTGGAAAGTTTTGTAGTGAGCACACATCTATTAGGACAAATATCTGTTCTCAAATGCAAAAACCTGCATTTAAACATGAACACTTTTTGCACCAGTATCTCTGAAAAAAAATAAAAAGAGAGAAAAAAAGAGAAAAAATACAAAAAATAATAAATCATCTTTATCAACATCAACATATAAATGACATCATCATCACTGGGAAGCAAGAGAAAAAACACTTCGTTTTGGCATGTTGACTTCAGTATTCTGCTTCACACTCAATAAACATATATAGAAATATAGCTTACTACTAACAAAAAAATAAAATGTAGTTGTGCAAACTCACCAACATGCCAGACCTTATGCAAGTCTTGAACAGTTCATCGTTATGTATCATTGCAACATAATACCAAAGGAAAATTCAGGTTTTAAATTACATGTCATTCAGCCAATTGGTACATACAGGTCAGTTCATGTGGCATAAAACTACCAGATTTTCCAATCCTGCAATTGCATATAATTTTTTAAAAATATTTGCAAACATTCTAATCAAAATAAAAGTACTATATACATAATAAATATCCAGAAAAATTAATTTCAAAGTTTTCCAGGTTATCTCCATACATTTTAAAAATTCGTTGAAAAAAGCTAACACTATCAATACTAATAAATGTATATCCATTGACTTCATCTTAAAAATTTTAATAAGGCCAATGCGGGAAAATGACAAAAATTCAAAATGAATTCTTCATCAGTTCTACAATCTGATACTTCTCCACCGCGGAAAAAAATGTACAAAATATCGAGTGGAAGGATTAGGACAATTGCTGCATTTATGCCTTTGGACTTGCGTTATAAGTTCCTCTCCCTCTTCATCTTCTCATGGAGCTCCTCCGCCTGGTCTCGCAGCCTCCCCAGCTCCTCCTGGATCCTGTCGGTGATCACCTTCCGCGCCGTCGTCGGGTCCTCCTTCTTTGCCTTCATCTCCGACACTAGGTCCTTGAAGTCCAATGGTTCTCCGACCACAACTGTCACCAGCTTCCCGACCCTGGGGATGTAGGGCTTGCGGTTGGGCAGGATGTCATCCATACCGATGTGGTAGAAGGGCAGGACAATTGGACACACAGGTGACTCGTACACCAGCCGGCCCACGCCCCACTTGAGCCGCATCCTCTCCAGGCTCATGTTCACCTTGCCCTCAGGGAAGATGTGTACCCACTGGCCCTCCTTCAGACGATCAATCAGGAAGTCCATTGCCTCCTGGGAAGCAAGACAATAACATCAGCTTCTACTTCTATATGAGAAATATGACATGAGATAGATGTGAGAAAGCTTAATTACTTCTACACAAACAATCTTAGAGATGATACAGATCAGTTATAAAAAAGATCCCTCCAAATAAAGTGAAATAAATCCTCATTAACCCAATGGCGCCGGGTGTACAAAAGAAAAAAAAAACTCTATGCTTAAACAAACAAAGGTGCAAATTCGAGAATTAGTAACCATGAAAATTATATAGACTAATGTTTTATTTATGGGTCATTCTTTAAAGAACTTTCATATCTAAGTAATTTCAAATTTGTAAATCTTTAACAAATAACAACAATCACTTATGAAATAATACCATCCTTAGTCTTCTAATATATCTGTAAAACTTAGAATTATATTAATTCAAATACAGTTTTAAATCTTTTTAGTATTACAGACAACAACTAACCTGGTACACTCCCAGGCCTCGAATAATTGGCACACATTTCCCAGCACTGAAGAACCAGCTGTATATTTTTCGTGTGAAGGCTATGTCATGTGCTGCGGGGGACCACCTCATTCTCCGCGCATTCCACAGATCACGCCATCTCAACAAACCTGTAATGAAATAAGTGAAAATCCATAACCATACATGAACTGCATCCCATTAAGGCAGAAACTGTAACCATGTTTCCTAACTTGTAATGTGTAAAAAACACTATGAATAAAACATCCATTTTTATGAAAATGAGTAAAAAAAAGTAAACATTTCATCCTTTGCTTAATTTTTTTGTTTTTTTTTGTTTTTTTTTACAGCTCTACTAGGATAATATAAAGTTTTGGAAATAACTTCCTGTCCTCATTCCCAAACCAGACTACCATTCCACAGAGTTAGATTAACTCTAACTGTCAAGAGTTCTTATCTTCCACTATCAATTCCTATAAGTTTTTTTTTTCACCAAGAAACAGCTGGCCTTGAGCTCGACTGACTTGAGGCCTTTGATTAGACTCCAATCTCAAGTAGGAAACTGACATTAGTGGTACAAGTAGAACAACAGTTCTTTTACCTTTTCATTGTACCTTTTTTTCTTGCTACTTAGACATCAGATGAAGAAGAGTTCATTGTGGAAACTATGTGAAAGGTGTAAATAAGAATGTGTAATTGTGAGTTGGAGAGACAAAATGTATCTTGTATGTCATTCAAAATGATGGTATTATTTATTTCCTGGATGTGTCATCCTTATCAGGTAATTTCCATATCCTTTGAAGAAGCAAAAGGAAGGTGACCTCTATAATTTTTTTTCTTCTAAAATAAACAGTACTTTATATCAAATATCACATGGTTCATATATTACTTGATTCATTCAAGATAAGGAGAGGTGAGGCTCTAACCACTCTATCTCCTACTATTATCTCATCTACTATATACCCTCTATAAATATTAATAAACAGATTTTCTCATCCATACAAATAAATACATGAGAAAGAATATATCACACCGTAACTTTAGCATATGAAATTTGTATTTTGACATCTTTATAAAATCTGTAATTCTAAAAATATAAACCAAAATATCCATTACATATAGATTGTGGAAGTGATTATCATCAACCATTTACACTTTCTTATACAAGAGGAAATAAACTGGTAACAGTGAGGAAAAATCTTTAAAACAGCTTCATATAATAATCTATAGGAAAAGAACACAGGAAGACAAAATGCTATGATATTACACAGAAAAAAGGGAAAGAGGCAACTACAATGTTAATATCAGTCATTAGATTAAACTATCAGCACTGTCTCATTTACATATCACAAAATATTATCAAAGAAAATAACCATGCTATATTTACTGACACATTTGCATAGAAAGATTACATGCAATCTTAAAATTCCACTATATTTTCAAGATGTTTGTTTACTCTTTCATCTAGAATAACCAATGCTTTTACTTGTTTTATGCTGTGACACAATTAGGACAAATTAACCCTTAGACTCCATATTTCCAAGACCATATTTCTCATTCATCTAAAAAATAAATGAATAAATAAATAATTAAATAAAAATTTGAAAAGACTTTTTCTAAATCATTAGCTAGATGTCTTGCTTGTAGGGCAGGCACCCAAGTTTCTCCCACCCATTTCAAAATACACATGAATGATGCCACTTTCATTAGTTAATATAATTTTCTCATGTCGTTGGGTAAATCCAAATTTTGCCATTAATGGATATATCCATGTTTCATAGTCAAAGGATCAACTAGTATTAACCCATTCGCCACACATGGCAAGAATAGATGCCATGCCCACTTTGATATACGTTCATTTATTGTATTTACACATAGATGGCTCCACAAGTTCTTAATCACCAAACAGCCAGTTATCAAGAACTACCTATTTCCCCTGTTTACCCGTTTCCTTCACTTTGGGAAAGGGTTTTCTGTATCATTTCATTGTCTAAAATATTCTAATGACAATTTAATAATCATAACATCAATAACAATAATAACAGTGTCAATAGCAATGGTATTAATTTTCCCGCCAATTCAATGAATGGAAAAATCAGGGTCGGTAACTAGGGCCTACTGATAGACTCCTTGCCGGAAGACCCATTTGTATGTAACAAAATTCACCAAAAATTACAGGGGACAGAACATAAATCCGGGGCGAATGGGTTAATTGTGCAAAATTAAGATATTCTTCACAGTCACAGTTTTATTTTTGTAAACAGTTTTAAACAATAGATAATTACAGGCAAGTGGAAATGTTATCAATAGAAGAGATTTGATTCTTCTCTACAGAGTTGGTATGTTAATTCATGTAGGGTCTCAAAGTGAAATGAAGCCATAATTCAGTTTCTGAAAATGTGAAAACTGAGCCAAAATACACAGAGAATACAATATGTACAGTTGAGCATATCACAATCTACTGAACTGTGCATCCCTGGTCACACTTTGTAAACTATTGTAATCACACTCACATCCCCCCCCCAGACACTCACAAAGGATTCAGGCTGAATGATGAATGAGAGATGACTAAGTTGCACTCATCTGCTTAAGTCTGGAGTTTGGCCTGTATGAATTCTGAGGACATAAGTAAGAACTAATTCAGTGCCTGATGATGGGCCCACCACTTTTAGCTGTACACAGTAACCCAAAGGCCAAGCCAATACTGCAATATCATGGGGAACAATGTAGTTTGGCTACGACATATGGATAACATCTTCACCACAATACTAACAAGGAATAACCCACAGGTTCAATGTAGTCCACCTTCCCAAACAATTTAGCATAGAAAAGGATTGAGATGAATAACTTTGGTTCCTTGACACCATGATTTATAATGACCTAATGGCTTGTTCTCTACTGTGTCCCAAAAACCAAAGAACAAGAGAAACTTTGTTTATTACTTCTCTGCCCACAACAAAAGGATAAAACGGTGTGATTACTATTTTTCTACCACGTGTACACAGAATCTGCAGCCCAGAGTTCCTAGAGGAGAAAACTCAGCATGTCAACACCATCTTCCAGTCCCTCCACTACCCAAGTACTGTGCTCACTCAATTTAGATGAGAGAAATAGAAGATAATACACAAACCTAAAAGCAACACCCAAGACACCACCCCAGAATAATCAATTCACACTTGGAGACACACACAATTATGACTGATAGTGCTTCAGGAAAGAACACTTGAGATACTCTAAAGGAAATGAGATAGATCACAGTAGACCTCTTAGTCAGGTGAACACTCACTCACTCTCACTCACTCACTCACTCACTCACTCTCACTCAATTACTCACTCACTCACTCAATTATTCACTCACTCACTCACCCACTCACTCACTCACTCACTCTCACTCACTCACTCACTCTCACCCACTCACTCACTCACTCACTCTCACTCACTCACTCACTCACTCTCACCCACTCACTCACTCACTCACTCTCACCCACTCACTCACTCTCACTCACTCACTCTCACTCACTCACTCACCTCACTCACTCACTCACTCACTCACTCACTCACTCACTCACTCACTCACGCACTCACTTTCACCCACTCACTCACTCTCAACCACTCACTCTCACTCACTCACTCACCCACTCACTCACTCACTCACTCTCACCCACTCACTCACTCACTCTCACTCACTCACTCACTCACTCTCACTCACTCACTCACTCTCACCCACCCACCCACTCACTCACTCACTCTCACCCACCCACTCACTCACTCACTCACTCACTCACTCACTCACTCACTCTCACTCACTCACTCACTCTCACCCACTCACTCACTCACGCACTCACTCTCACCCACTCACTCACTCTCACCCACTCCCTCACTCTCACCCACTCCCTCACTCACTCACTCTCACTCACTCACTCATTCACTCACTCACTCACACACTCTCACTCACTCTCACTCACTCTCACTCACTCACTCACTCACTCTCACTCACTCACTCACTCTCACCCACTCACTCACTCACTCACGCACTCACTCTCAACCACTCACTCAATCACTCACTCACTCACTCACTCTCACTCACTCACTCTCACCCACCCACCCACTCACTCACTCACTCACTCTCACCCACCCACTCACTCACTTACTCACTCACTCACTCACTCACTCTCACTCACTCTCACCCACTCACTCACTCACGCACTCACTCTCACCCACTCACTCACTCTCAACCACTCACTCTCACCCACTCACTCACTCACTCACTCACTCTCACCCACTCACTCACTCACTCACTCACTCTCACTCACTCACTCACTCTCACCCACCCACCCACTCACTCACTCACTCACTCACTCTCACCCACCCACTCACTCACTCACTTACTCACTCTCACTCACTCACTCACTCACTCACTCTCACCCACCCACTCACTCACTCACTTACTTACTTACTCACTCACTCACTCTCACCCACTCACTCACTCACTCACTCACTCACTCTCACCCACTCACTCACTCACTCACTCACTCACTCTCACCCACCCACTCACTCACTCACTCTCTCTCTCAGACTTCCAACATCAAAACCATGTAATTACCCCATAGCGCGGGATCATCGAGGCAGGAATAATGGTTTGATACTGTGAGGAGCGGTGTGCCTGCAGGCCGATTTGCTACCAGGTTTCGAAGCTGTTGGATGTTGTGGCCGTTCACCTTATTACACCATTCTGGAAAGAAAATAAGGGGATGTTACTGGTATCTGTTGATGGCCAGGAAACAATATAAAACTGAAGTGTATATCCTATGTGATACACTAATAATGGAAAAAAAATGACAATGTAAAAAAAAGGGAAAAACAATCCATCCCTCAGTGAGATATACTGTTCGTTTGTCCCTCGGGCGCAACAATATGCCTTTTCTTTTTATCCTTCTCCTTCTTACTTCAGCTTCTGCTCCTTCTATTCCTTATCTTACTTGAACACAATACATTTTTGTAATTAATCAAATCCTTAATATCTTGACATCAATGTATCCTACTACATTTGATCTTCTTCACTTCAAGTAAAGTTACCATGCAAAGTTTAATTCATCAAGTATTTTCACACCTCTACAAACAAACAATACAGACATCTAAGATTTCTAATGAATCCTTTACATCAATTAACTTAGTGAGGAGCCTACAACCAAATCCTGCTGCCGAATAGATTGGTTTGTGCTGTACATAACTGATGCTCTATAATTTCATGCTACTATACATGTAAATATAAGTAAATATATATTGAATAAGGAGATTCTTTGTGTTGTTTTACCTTCCTAGCCAATTAGAAATTCCTTTTCAGTAACTCTTAATGACAACAAATATAATGAAATAAAGTATCTGATTAATTTTTATGCCCTAGAATTCTATTTGCCATGGATGACTAATAAAAAAATACATGTATCCCTATTTCCCATGATCATATTGCCCAGTGACTTTTTTTGTTCATGAATGAGACATATGTAATGTCAACTAATATATCTGATACGATCTTCCTTTCCATACAAAACAAGTCATATTAGTGACAAGTTTTTCAACTTTCCTCTTGAGATATAACAAAGAAATATGGTTCTTAGTAGTTAAATGAAATCAATGAGCCAGAAAATAGGTTGAAATGCAAAAAAACAGTGAAACTCAGAGAAAAATGTATCCAGATTCTTTATCAATTTTCTTTATTAATGATACTTAATTTATCTGAAAAATATTTTCATCTGCTTTTGGTGTGTAGTTTTCCACCAAATGAATCAAATTACAATGCAGTAGTTTTCATGTGAACATGGAAACAAGTGCTGTCACTGCTAGAGCTTATATTGGTTATGATATAGTTTAAATATTAACAATGCACTCTGTTAAATTCTCAAATAAAGAACCATGATGACCGTTGTGATCATTGTATACATGGTCTGACATGATAATAAGATTTATCAAATTACACACGCTACAGCTTTATATAAAAAAATGGTCAACTTTTGGCAAAAAAAAAATAAGTGGATATCAAATAATCTATGTCCATTCCTACCCTAAAAAAAATTCCAAATAGTCCCCCAAGCCTGTTACATGAAGAGGGTTAATGCTATCTCCAACATTGGAATGGAAAAGAACATCAAAATCATAACATTGAAATACACAAGAAGACATATAAAGTCAGTAAAATATATTCTTCTTACAAAGAAAGCATTCACAGAAATTTATTCTCTTCCAGAATTTTTACTTCCCCTTCCCCTTCTTGCACAAAAGAGTTCATTAACCAATGCAATAATTAACAAATCCTGTTTTTATCTTATCTATGACCTTACTTTTTACTACTAAATGCATAAATATTCCCGAAGTAAATCTCGACCTGTAATACT